TTAAAAATGATAAAAAATACATAATACAGACAGAGAATTGTATAAAAAGTTCCCTAAACAGGAAATAATCTGCTCATATTTCATCCAAATCTCTGGTTTTACACAAACTTCCTGCAGTTACTGAGTTCACTGTTTGAGTTTATTGTACAGTTTTTAATACAATATGAAATATCCATCACATATGTCACCTAAACAGAGGTTGACAGTTTACTAAACTACAGAAATGAGTCCCTTAAGGAAAAAGGTTGGGAAACACTCCTTTAAATGCACCTGGAGGAGACGAGCGAGGAAAGGAAGCGAGGAAACACGTTAGCGTAATGAAAAGCTGTAAAGCTTTGGCGACCCCTAGTGGGGAGTAACACACGTCACAAATACATCTGATTGTGTGTAAATGTGTGTTTTACTGTGTGTTTAAGGGATCAATTATCTCCTCTAATGTCTGATATTGTGATTTTGTTGTACTATGATGCAATAAAAACAGCTCTAAAGCAGATTATTGTTTCCTGTGATACAAAGAAAAAAACATTGACAATTATTGACACAATTTCCGCCTTTATTACGAGTAATATTAATATACAAACATGTAACTGAAGAGTTTTCATAAATTAAATAAAAATTATTTTTACTACATCAAGTTTGTCATCATAATGACTTCATAACGGTTTCATATCAGATTATTATCAACATCCTTCTTTTCAGCACATTAACGCTCATTTTCAGGCCGAATCAAACAACACGAGCAGCATAATTAACATCGCACATACTCTGATAAATGACCTCAGAAAGTAACGTTGCTCCTTCTGTCTGTGATTCTGTCAGTAATTCAGTGATACAGTCTTTAGATTCAATTACAGAAAACATGATAAAGCTTCGACATTAAATGAGGAGCTTAAACAGTTCAAGCGGTTCTGGTTTGAAATGTAAAATAATCTTTGTTGTCGCAGTGGTTCGGATCTAGAGACGCACTCGGTGGCCAGAAGGTTAATAAATAAAAGATTTAATTGCAAACAATCACATGTATGAATATTTGTTTGGACGTAACAGGTCATTAAATACATTTTTTGACACATTATTTTTTAAATAATCTTAATTAAAGTATTAAATTTGACACCAGGTAAACACATTTTGGCGATGGAAAAACTGGAATGGGCATTTTTAAAGTGATCCTTTGACCTCTGACCTCAAGATATCTGAATGAAAATGGGTCCTATGAGATCCTACGAGTCTGCCCTTTGCAGACACTTTATGCTAATCCAGCGTAGCCTTTTGCATGTGGTATAAAAGTTATTTTCTCCGAGTATATTTGAATATTTCTGCACACTGGGGTCCAGAAACTGTGCTGGAATTCTTAAAGCTGAGACCCGAACTTCATGCCACCCCTGCATTAGTCACTACCCCCACTTCTCCCCACGGAGCCGGTTCCTTGTTGGTGGACAAGGTCTATCCATGTTGTGTCAGATTAGTTAGGTAATACTGTATGCACCACTAGCACAACATGAACTGAACTAACAGGGCCCTAATCGATCGATTCAGTTTATCTTGTGTTTAAATTGCAGGTTTTCCTAGATAAATGAGTAACTTAACATTTTTAAATTCTTGTTTTTGCAGAACTTATATTTGTATTTGTTTGGCATCTTTGCACGTCTTCCTAACATTAGGACTGGTAACAAGACAAAAAAGAGGGAGACTCAACCCTATTTGTAGTTTCAGTCTGCACATAAACATCCTTCAGAGACACCAACAGAGTACTTTTACACTCTGAGTAACCTGTAATTTTTGTTTTACTTGAGTAAACAAGCATCTGTGCTTTTATTTGCATAGAGAATGTGTGTACTTCTACAACCTCTGCTTGAACATGACGTAAACAAGAAATCTGTGCAACTCTCAATAAAATGACCATAAACAAAGTACTAAGTCTGAGAACTGGAGGGTGTTCACTGCTCGTTTTAGCCCCTGGGGTAAATCCGGGTCTGATACTCGGAGGACTTCCTCACTGCAGCCTTCTGTCTCCTCGGCTGTGTGGACTCTGCATCTGTCCGTCCGACGGAGGAAGAACCTCGACGTTGTAGCTCACCTTCTTGGACTGAAGGATGCTGTAGCTGTTGTCGAAACACAGCACGTCTGCATGAAACGAAGGACAAAGTCAGCAACGTCTAACCATCCTGCAGGGTTTCACATGAATACTTCATTTTAGGAAATAAAATGAGCTTTCTTGCAGAGTTAGATGAGAAAAATCGGAAACAGGTGGAAACTAGCTAGCATAACTCTGTCCACAGGTAAAAACACAAAAAAAACAGAGATTAAACAAATGCGATATGTGTTTATTAGGTGGATTTTTTAACTTTACAACAGATGCAGGCTAGCTGTTTCCTGTCTTTTAGCTTTGCTAAGCTAAGATAGTCGTCTCCTGGCTGTAGCTTCACATTTACAGTTCAAACACGACTGGTATTGATCTTCTCATCTATCACCTGTCACTTGTAAAACCATTGTTTTCTTCTCTTGCAGCTAAATAGGTTAGCTAGTGAGCTGTTTGACTGTGAGGGAGCTACGGAGAGGAGGTGCAGTGGGAGGTAAACCCAGGTAACCTCAGTTATCCTGCTCTTTGAAATTAAACTAGAGTTTATTCATCTAGAGCTCAACGTTTTATAATTAGTTCTCTATAGTTTTCAGTAGTTGACTCACAGACTCCGGCCTCGGGGCAGGTGAGGCAGCTGTCTTCGGGGACCAGGTGTGCATTGTAGCGTTCGCTGGGCAGAACCTGCAGCATCTCAGCCACCTTCTGACCTCCGCCCTCTTTGGTCCGTCTGTAGACTCCGAATCCGATATCTGCGCCATCGCTGGCAAACTGCCACCTGGAGAGAAACAGAGGCAAAGTTTGATTTGATTTGATTTAAACTTTTTGTCAGGATGGACATGAGAATAGCATCAAATAATAAGAATTCAATCAGTATTCATCCGACTTTTACGTCATTCTAGATCAATATTGGTCCTGATGGCATCATCGGCCT